TACTCACTCAACAACATTAAAATTGTCCTCTGGCTAAAGCTCACTAGCTGGCAGAATGATACCTGTCTGACCTGTGCAGCCACCTTGATGCCCTGAGCATGACCAGAACATTCAACATTGTCCCTTGGTTACACAGGAGGAAAACACGTTTACATACGGGTTAAAGAGAACTTCAGTGGGAAGGGGATGAGCTAATGAGAAACAGAGCAAAAGAATTGACTTAAGAGATGAAACAGATTACCTCATAATATAAATGCCATGACACAACACAGAGTGTGCAGCTGATGTTGAAGAAGACATCATCTGGCCAAAGAGGGAAAAAAAGGGAAAAAGAAGGAGGGGGCTGACAGAAATTAGTGGGATTTCTGTGTTTGAGTTTGTCTGCCTCACTGCCCCCTTTCAGCCTCCCATTGAAATTCCGGGCAGATAGAAACCCCAAGGCTTTTGACACACTCCTAAAAACACCCCCCGCCCCCCTTTCTTCCCAATGAGACTCCAGCATCGTGCCTGACTAACTATCAAGAGAGTGGAAGAGGGAACTGGCGTGAGAAGTGAAGACGACAGGGTGACAGCAGCCACAGATCAGTTTTTCTATTAGTGACTCTAAAATTAAGTTATTTATACTGAGGGAGCAGACAAGGCTTTGCAAACCCATTTCTAAACCTAGGACTTTTCTTTTTATTGCCAGATTACTACTAGAAATGCTGACATGTATGAAGGACAGTTTATGTGACACAAAGGTTTGCATAAATGTGAAGAGTCAAAGAAAATGATATATGGTTTAAAATGTTCTACTGATGGTGAAAGTGTGGTGTGTCAGTCCCCAAGTCCTTTTTTGGGGAGGGTAGAGAGTATCTATGAACATGAATTTTCAGGATGGTAACCAACACTATTATGTTTTAACAGGAAGAGGGCGAGTTCAAAGTTTGTGTTAGTTTTATTACAAAAAGGCCATTTTTATTTAGTTTTCAATCTCCCACCTGACATATGGATCTAAGAAGCTCTTCCAGAGTTACAGCTGCTACTGTGATAAACAGCATCCTACCCTCCGATTGTCTTGCTAAGTTTGGAGTTTACCATAATCTTTTTGTTTTATAGATTTCAAATTGAACAGTGCTCTATAAAATGCTTAAAGACAGATAATATTTCATAACCTCGCTCTAAACGTCTATGCAACTTCCCTCCCTGATCTTCAGAATCCAGTTTGCTTACTAATGTTCTCTAACAAATCTCAATCACAAACATATTAAATATATTTATGAATGACTTGTAAGGGCTGTTGGTTGCAGTGGATGTTATTTAGAGGCGTCTGTAACATGTGGTTGAAAACTATGTATTTCTTCCTTCCACCTCTTTGTAATGCACTAATTTGTGTTGGTTTAACACATAAACAAAATGTGATTAAGCAAAAAAGACTCAAACTATTTTCACAATATTACTGTTAATGCAGTTAAATAAAGATTTTTTTTTTTTTCATCTTTGCTGAAGATTCCTGATCTTTTGGACAGACAACCAGCTGGATCTCGGTGCTTCCAAAGTATAAAAGTGTATGGTATTTTTTTCAAAACTTAAGACAAATTTTGTTCCTCTAGCATTTGTGGCAAGACAAGTAAAGAAGAAAAGTAAAACAACTTTTAAAAAGGTTGAAGTCAAAAAAGTGAATGCTAAGTTGTCTTCATTTTAAAATCTAGGCTGCACTGAATGTACATAAGAGAAATGAGGAAAGACCACATTACAGTCAAAGTAAAATGTCCTTCAGTGTGGACATAAACTAACTTCAGTTCAGGGTCTTATTGGCTACATCAGCAATTGACTGCAACTAATGAACCTACCTTTTAATATTCAATATTCCCTCCTTGCTCAATTATTTTAACTGTAACCTTACTGTCTCCGCAACCAACCCACCATCACCCCCTCTGCAGCCCCACTGCATGCACCCTCCTCATCCACCATCTCAGTCTCAGGATGCAGAGCATTGACAGGGCCAGAAGGTAATGATACAGCTGCCATGATGCAACAAGCAGACCTGTCGACTGTCAGGAATTGAAATCATGAAGGAATAAGCTGTCATTAAGAGGCCCTCTCCCAGTAGTGGAGCTGTCAGATGGCTGCCTTCTGCCTACTCTCCCTCAATACTCCCGTCTCTCCTCCGCCAGTCCCACCCCATTTGCAGTCACTCCCTCATCCTTCTCTCATTTCTCTCTTCCCGAATCAATCCTTTCTGTACTCTTCTCCTTCTTTCCTCCTCTGTCCTCGTCCAGCCAATCATAATCCCATCTCCTGCACCCAATACACCCCCGCTTCCCATCTCAGATTCCTTTCTCTTTCCAGCCGTACTTTGGTTGTTGCTGGAGCAGCCTCCTCTCCTTCCTCTCACCTGTCATTTTACCTCTAGGCTTTGGGAGTTACACCTCTTCCATGTGCACACACACATGCACGAAAGACAACATGCAAGAGGCCTGCAAAGACAGCAAAAATTTCTTCCCCTAACTTAGTATTACTATACACACTCTGCCAAGTGTCAGAAGCACATCCTTCACCTGATGTGATGTGTGTCTATGTGTGCATGTTTTCTGGATCAGTACATGTTCATGTGTAAACACTTTAGACTTTAAACACACATATTTCTTCAATCACATTAATATGTGGTCATTGTACTACAACAAGCAAAGGAGGACAGAATATATTTTCCTAATATAAAACCATAATGGTTATTCTCGTTTCTTTATGCATGTGCGTCGATGCATCTGTGTCGCATTGTTGCTGTGTAAGTCTATGATTAAAAGATGCAATCAGTGCTGTTTTTTTCTTTATTCTTTTTAAGTTTTCTCCAAAAATCATCTGATTGGCAGATGCAGTACCATTGCAAAACCAAAGAAGGCTGACTCAGACTTTCAAAAAACCTGCCAAAAACTTTCAGTGTAGTGCAGGTGCACCTCCTTGCACAACTGCACATACATACTCCCAACATCTCTGAGCCAAATTAAAGGTTAGGTCTCTGGGTGCTGGTGTGTTTTGAAAAGGTAAAAACTCCAGCAGTACCTGATTGAGCTCCATGTGACCCTTTAATTTAGGCTTTATATTTCCAGTCAGCTGCTCATGAGTAAAATAAGCTGCACTTTTGGGTCAGACGAGTAATAAAAATAACTTTTGTAAAATTTAAATAAATCTAAACCAGACAAAAGTGTAGCAATAATATCAACATTTCATCCCGTATCAATATTTTTAAAATAAAATTTTAAAAAGTGAAAAAAAAGTGCCATGGTTTATATGTCTGTAGGTCACTGTGGTGAAAACAATTCTGTTTAAATACAGACCTTATTGTAGCAGGATTGTTGAATATCAAGAGAAAAGCAGCTTATGTCTGCAGCATAAGTCAGTGTTCAAGTCAGTTCAAGCAGTAACATCTTAGAAGCTAATTTATACATGCCAAAAGTGTTAAGCAATTGTGCCAAAATACTAAGGAACTATATGTACATTTCTGATACTCATAGCTCTGATTTTTAGCAAAAAGAAATAATTTTGGTAATCCTAACGGACCCGAATTGAAAAATGCAGTATTATTTAATGTCAAACAGTGAGGGGAAAAAAAGGTTAAGCTTCATTCACAAAGTTTGTGTAAATATCAAGTTTCAACTGTATATAAAAATCATGATTGAATAAGCAAAAGTTTTGGGGGGAAAATCCATTACATATTATTATAGTTATTCTCTCTAATGGTTCAGCAGAGTCATCTTCCGTGCATGTGCTTGAAAAGATATCAAGACAAATTTCCCCACTATGACATAATAAACCACAAACATGTCTTTAACAGTTGCAGACAGCATGAACCGAGTGGAAATGTGCGCGGCTGTCTTTCCAGCTCACAAACACACTACAAGGCTTGTGTTTGCCTTCTGCCTGGATGATGATTTGTCAGGGTGCGAGAACATGATTTCTTGTTTACAGTGATGAATGGGCAACACTCTCACTACACACACCATGTTCTCTATATCTAAGCTGTCACTTTGCCTCAGTGCAGCGCAAGCTTTTTCTTTCCGAACAGTGAGAGCAAGCAGACTGTGCAAGGCATGTTTCAGGATACCTGGAAAATCCATGTCAGAACATACGGACACACGTGTAACCCCAACCTTTTCCACAGTTGTACGCAGCAGGAGAGAGCTTTATACAGTGGGTAAGGTCTTTATCATATTCAGGTGGATGAAGCGAAGGAATGGGTGAGAGAAGGGGAGAGCGGCATCCCCCAAAGTCAATTTGAACAGCAGGCCGATTAAATTACATAGATACTCATGGTCACACTGACAAATGAGCACAAAGATGGGGAGGAAAATAATGAGACAGGTGAAGCCACCTGCTTGCTGACACAGAGATGTGTACATTTCTTAGTAATCATGTGATCAGCACAGAAAAAAATATTTGCTTCATATTATCTCTGCTGTTTCACCTCAACCCCCAAGAATACAGAGGATCCCACAGAAATCATGTATTATAAAGCTACATAAAAGTTTCCTTGCATGATAATGATTACACTGACAAATATGCTTCATTTTACAATAATATGCGACAATATGAGCTTATATTCTGAGCTGATGATGGTTTACTTAAAGTGTCTTTCAAGAGTTACCGAGTTGAGCTTTGTACCTGTGAATGAATGTCTGGCTGTGTTTCTTGTTTGTGGCGCCAGGGTTATGTGATGCTGCAGAACGCTACAATTGTTCATCATCATGTATATTTTTTATAACCCCAGGGTAATCTTTTCTTTCCATCCAGCACTTGTATAAATTGTACAATGCAGTTAAAATGAATTAAGCTGACGGTACACACACAGTGTGAGGTGACAAACCTCACAGCGACAAATTACTCACCCGAACATGCGATCCACAAGTTAGGTTGGATAAGCGCACATTTAATTTTAGCTTAAAATGTAGCATAATAGGGAAAAAAAACTACCATGAGTTAATGCAAACTTAGTTTAATTTTGGACAATACTGAGACCCTACCTCCATGGCCTTCATGATGAAAGGGATCTGTGTTCCTGAGTCCAGGTCCTGGTTAATGATAAGCCTGCGGGCCCACTGACCAGCCCGCACCACACCACTGCCCTGGATAAGCACGAGCAGCTTGTTCGGGTTAGTCAAGGCATCTGTGCTAAGGTAGATAAAACTTCTGGGTTCATCGTCTGTAGCACCCACCTGAAGATGAAGCAAAAAAAAAAAAAAAAAGTCACACAATCACTGGTATTCTGGTTTAGAAATTTATCTGACAAATGTTACAAAAAAGGGCCTTGCAACACCAAAATCTGACAGATGTTTCAGCAACAATCCAACTTTGTTGAGAACATTTACTAAGAGGAAGAAAATCCCATGTAAAGGAATAACTGTTCTTAACAAAATCACCAGTGGCACGACTGTTTAACATCTAACAATTTCTTTAAAAATGTAACTGAAGCCTTTTTTTTTTCAAATGTTCACTTTACACTAGTAAAGTGAAAAAAGAAATGTCTAATTATTAATCTATATTTATATCCATGTGATATAAATATGACGCATGATGACCCATATTTTTACACTTTTTGAAACATGGTCTTAATTGTTCTTGGACTTTAACTGAATTTTTTATTTCCCCCTCCCCAACAAACACTCATGGTGGGTCTGGTGTACAGCTAAGGATGGAAATGTCAGAAAGCACAAAGTCTGTGCTTCATCCACGTCCCTGGCTTCTTTGCATCCCTCTCAAGTATGCTTGGAAGAATCTCTAAGGAGACACTGTCCATAAAAGCTATGGGTGGCAGCTGCAAGAACTTAATCCAAACAGACAAAGAGGGCCAAGTGGGGGAGAAAATCTTACCCTTTATTCTCCTGTGCTCCTTCATTCCCTCTCCTTATACTTGGCTGCGGTTAATCTTCTTAAAATCTGCGGTCATAAGTTCAATGCTACGCAGGTGGACGGACCCACCACTAACACGCTAAAATACACACACGCACACTCTCAGTATACGTGCAGGCGGGTGGGCAGAAGAGAAGCATAGGAGAGCAATTTTCCAGTGGAATAATGAGATAAATAGGCCAAGCAGATAAACCAGTAAAAGTGTATGGGGGCTAATGAAAGGCGCTGACTCCGGCTAGGTGATTTATAGACACTGTTAGTGCTCTGGCTAACTCTGGCATGCTTCTAAACACCAGCGCTTCCTAACATTGCTATAAAACTGCTTCTGAAAAATGATCACCATTTTTTGTAAACAGAAAAACAGCAGGGATAGAGAGGTAAAAAGGGGGGGAAGAAGAAAAGAGACAACAAGCCTCTGACAACAAATAAAGAGGGATCAAGAATGTGCACTGAGCCTGGATGAGCTGGGCAAAGAATATCACCACAACTGTGGAAAAGGCAGAGTGGAAAGTCGCCTTCAGCCCAACTGAATGCAAAACAGATTAAGCATCAGCATCCTGTGCCTATTTGAAATGACACATCACAATCCAGTTCTAATTTGTGGAGGAGACACTTTTGCACAAAGGATGTGTGCAGTTGGGAAAGACAGAGAATATGAAGAAGACATAAAAAGAAAAACTGATGGAGAATTAGGAAAGCCGCCTTCTCAAAATCCACCTTTCTCATTTTTTTTTATTTCTAAATAGGACACCCATTATCACTCTGAAGCCTGATCATTCACAGTACCTTACAATATTCACACCACGTGGCCTTTTTCCACATTTTGTACTGTGGAACCCACACACTTCAGTGTATATATTTGGATTTTATGTGGCAGCCAAACAGAAAGGCTTCATTTACTGTAATACACCTAGAAAAGAAAATTCATTCAATTGTTTTCAAAAGTCACCTAATTACTAAACCGATTCCACATGTGCTTATTTTACACAGCTGTTCCATGAAGAGCTCTTCTTTCTAGAAAACATTAGTAAATAAACAGAATCAGCATGAGTTCAAATTAACTCATAAGGACTCCCCTCTGCGATTTGTCACAAGCTGCATCTTCACTAACAAAAACAAACTTTGTGGAAAAAGGTGTTCTGGTTAGTTTCTGCCCTGAATGCAAAACATTGCACTTCACCATTTAACACACCATGGCGAAACATGGTGGTGGCAACTCTGGTTATCATGAGTTGGGGCTTCTTTTCTTCAGTAGAAACAGGGAAGGTGGTCAGAACTGATTTGAAGATGGATGGAGCTAAATGCAGAGCGATACTGGAAAAACAAGTGTGCTGAAGACTTAATATTCCAGTCTGACAATGGCCTTATGTGTTAAGATGGCCCAACCAAACTGTAGACCATGAGCAAATCAAGAATATATGGTAAAACTTGATGTTCAATCTGACTCAGCTATTTTGCAAAGAAGAATGAGAAAAATGTCCATCTCTTGATGTAAAGGGTTTACCGACTCTAAAGATTTGCACGTTTAATTTGAATAAAGTTAGTTTCGTCAAACTATTGGCTACTGAAATCTGAATATGAATGCACTTTTTTAAAGATTCTTATTTATAAAAAAAAAAATCTCCAAACCATTGTTATAAACTACCTCTAAGGCTACATTTGAGTTCAATTAAGCACTACCTCGGGTCGGTCTTTTCAAGCAAGACCCCAGTAAAACACTGCAACACAGGAAAATATGGAAATGTCCAAGGGCGTATGAATAGTTTTGCAAAGCACTTTCTGACCATACTTATATACTTACAGGAAGAAATGCTTTAGTCAAGTTGCACTTTTTCTCCAACAGCTCGTAAACATACTTAGTGATGATCTGGAAAAGAAAAACAGAAAAGGCTCTGAGTCAGATATACTGATAACTCTATCTGATGGAGTTAATATTCTTTCTGGCTGCTGATACAAATAAACCTGTGAAAGAGAAACTGTGTACACATGTGAACAAGGAACCAGCATCCACAGTCATACTTGCCACCAAAAATATAAAGAAAAGCTGCTCAAAACCCCCATTTGCCCTCTAGTGTCTGTACGCACGCGAACGGCTTGAAAGAGTCTGGTTTTATACTGTACATGTGCGAGTGTGTGTGTGCATGCGTGTGTGTTTGTGTGTACAGTACAGTCAGACTGTTGAGGTTGAAAGTGCCAGGAGAGGAAATCTCCTGTACATGCAAAGGGCTGATGTAAGTTGTGTTTATCCCTGCAGCCACAGCACTAAAGAACCTTGTATACAAAGTCACTCCTACCCCAGGCCAAGCCTTTCATGGTTCAGTGACATTAGCAACGTTCTTTTCCCTTTTCCCCTTTCCCCTTCCTTCTTTTCATTTTTTTTCCCACTTGCATCCTGCTCAGCTGAGAACAGACAGGAGCACTTTGTGGAGCAGATTTTAATTCTTGATCAGGTGGGAAAGACACAAACAGAGAACTAAAGACTGAGAACAGATGACAGCAAACACAACCAGGAGCTATAAGATGCAGCGCAGCAATTGATGATGCTTCTCCCAGCGGTAAGACAAGCCGTGTGTCCCGTCTGTGTCGTAACAACGCTGCGTTGGGTGGATGCGCCACGGGGAGAGCTGAGCAGCCTGGTGTCATGCTGTGCTGTGAAGTCTTACTTCCATGCGCTTTTGAAGTATCAGCCTTACTAAATCAGGAAACCAAAGGCCAGCGGTGGCGCCACAGTCACAAAGCGTGTCGGCGCTCCAGTCATGCCGAAATGACTGACTTCGAACACAAACAAGGATCTACCAAAGACCATTGCGCCTCAAAGCACAAGAGATGAGGCTCAGATGTCAGTTAAGTGTGGAAAGAGGAGAACTTCACTTTGACTTAATAATAACAATAGATTGTGCACACATTGTCTTACAGAGGCGTTCATATCTTTTAATGTTTTCAGTTTTTGTTAAGTTGGGCCGTCGCATAATTTTAAAGTGAGGAGATATTAATATGCAGTTTTCAGAATGCCTTCAGATGTCAAGACCAAGCAGTGATCCAGACAGGTCTGGAGATGTTTTAGGCAAGTTTCATTTATAACGTGAGGGAACTACTTGATTCTTTATTTGAAGATGGAACAGGTTTGACATAACTGCAAACCTATGAGGAAATGTCCGTTTCCCTAAACTTCGAGGTCAGGTCAGGAGTGCATTAATCAAAGAAGCAGCCAATGAGCTCTTGGGTATCTCTGAAGGCACTACAGGATTCCAATGCTCAAATGAGAGTTCCTTGTCATAAGACAGCTTTTAGCAATACACAAATTTGGTGCTTCTGAAGTGAACCTGTTAGAAGTACCAAATACTTATGCGAAGGTTCACCTTCCTGCAGCACACAGCTCTTCCAAGCAGACAGAACTACAGCGGAATGGTTTAGATTAAAGTATATCCCTGTGCTAAAATAACCAAGACAAACTGCAATTAAGAATCTGTGGCAAGATTTGAAGAAATGCTCTCCATACAGTCTGACTGAACTAGAGTTATTGCAGCAAATTGTAGTCCAATGAAGTATTGAGTAAGAGGGGCTAAATAAAGATGCTCGGTTGCTAGATTTTTTCATAAAATATTTGGAAGCATTGAATTAGTTTTCTTGGTTGGTAACACTTTATTTGAAGGGGGTTGGATAAGACTGACATGACACTGTCACAAACATGACATAACACCTGTCATGAACATGAATAAGCCTTCATGAATATTTATGACTGTTGTCATAAAGCGTCATTCGGTAAATTATGACACTTTTAATACAAAGTTGACATTATTCAAAATGTCTTTGTTATGACAACTTGACATTAACCAAGAAATCATTACTGATATAAATTTGTTATAAAAGTTTTACTGATTGCACTTTAAAAATTAGGAATCTTTATGTTATTAAAGGTAAAGTTTAAACAGTAATAATTTATTGGTTAATGTCAAGTTGTCATAACAAAGACATTTTGAATAATGTCAACTTTGTATTAAAAGTGTCATAATTTACCGAATGACGCTTTATGACAACAGTCATAAATATTCATGAAGGCTTATTCATGTTCATGACAGGTGTTATGACATGTTTATGAAAGTGTCATGACAGTCTTATTCACCCCCTTCAAATAAAGTGTTACCGTTTTCTTCTACATCACAATTCTGCACTTCTTTGTGCTGATCAATCCCATCAAATACCCTTAAAATATGCTATACACTGTTTCATCAAATAAGTAGAATATGTTAGCATTGTGTGCAAACACTGGTTAATACATAAAATAAAAAACTAGCTACAAAATTAGGATATCAATACGTAATAAAAGATTTTATCAATTTGTGCCAACAAGGAAATCTTTAGATTAACCCAATCCAGAAGTGGCAGGACTTTTATGATTTTCCTAAGTTTTGATGTATGCAGAGGAAAAACATCCTTTAAAATGTCAACCTTGAGAAGATTCATTTAAGCACTACTCTATCTAAACTGTGGATAATTGTTGAAATGGCAAGACCAAATAGAGCTGCAAAGTGATAAAGAGAAGAGCTTCACTCATACACTCAATGCTCTGTTAAGACCAATATAATAATGGCTTGATCTCACAAGACGAAAGAGCAAAATCAGGTAATAGACAAATGCTAGTCTTATGACACAGAGACAAAGCCCAACAGACAAGCTAGATGATATGATCAATGCTACCATTTGACCCTGTGTCTGTGTGGGCTGAGGGGATGGACTGGAGGAGCTAAAGCAGCAACGCTTAAACATACCAAACCTCAAGCAGCTAATACGCTAAAATGTCGGCTGCTCTGATGAGAACTAAAATGATTCCTGGCCTCACTTTGCTCATACTTTATGACATCAATAGGCTTCACAGGAAATTTCTTTTGCAATATTTTATTTGTTCTGTGCCTCAGGTGGCCCACAAACTATTGATATAGGATAAGGAGGCTGGTGGAAATTAAGGAAAGGGAACAAGGGATTGACAAAAGCAAGGTTGTGCAAACATTTACAAAGATAAAATTGTGCTCTGATCATAAATATATAGAAGTTTTATATCCAGATTTGTGTATAACCTTTTAGATCAAGTTATCTAAATGCTTTTCTTCAGTCTTACAAGATCTAACTAGCATTTATTTCTAGTTTACTGACAACAGGATACACAGATCATGGAAACCAGCACACACACACGCACACACACTGTGGCTCCTTCATTGGTTACCTCCTAGGACTATGTCTTAGCAGCTGATCAGTACAATAAAAATGGCCTCTTTGTCACCTAATTACCAATGTGTTATTAGTGCTTTAATGAAATGCCTGCAGGGAGCTGCAATGCCATTGTCACTAGGACAAGCATGGGGAGTGGATGTGGCAAATATTATCAGGGGACAAAAAGAGAAGGAAGAAGGGGATTGAAAGAAATAGATTTAAATGAGTTCAAATCAGTACTTATACTATTTATTACTGTTTCATTTTTAAGATAAGGCAAATACTTTCAACAATAAACAGACACAGTTTCACCTGTAGAGCAAATTGCAGCATTCATCATAAAGGGCAGTTACCAAACTATCAAAAACCTCTTAAATCCTACTCTCTAAAGAAACAAATTCATCAGAAGTCAAACAAAGAACAATTGTTCTTCTTCACGGTGAAACGGTCTGTAGATGGGACGCTCTGATCTAACTTCTGCAGCTGTGTCCACTGTGTCTGCAGCTTGTTTGTGTAGGGGAAAGATTGTGGCGATGAACCAAGAAAAGGGGGATCAGAGCGGAAGAAAGGACTTAGATTGAGGCTCAGTGGGAGGAAACGAGGAAGACAAGAAAGGAGAGATGGCAAAGTAATCCTCTGGAGACAGAGTCTCATGCCAGCTCCCACTGATGTGAGCACCACAGAGGACAAAGCAGTGGAAGAGGGAGTGGAGATGGAGAAACAAAGGTACAGCGCGCTGCCTTGATGAGACGCCTTGGAACGGCTGGGCTGTGACATCAGCTCCTTGCAAATCTGGAGTCATCCCCATAAACAGTCTCTTCATCACTTCCATGAGGTCAAGGTCTTCATGAAGAACACTGTGGCTGCAACTAGATATGCTTTTCAGAGACCTCCCACACACTGTGTCTCCAAGAATCAGTCTGTGTGTGTTTCCTGCATCCCTGTGTGTTCTCCCACTGATTACAGCAGTCATGCCTGGTTTGGCTGACCGCACCTGAGGCAATAAGGAGATGATACTTCCCAGGCGCACACAAAAGGGAGGAAAAGAACCAAATAAGGAAAGAAGAGGCCAAGCAACAGTCATAATGGAAGAGGAAACATTTGGGATGAAAAGAACCGAGGAAAATAAATAACAAGTAACCCAATAATACAAAAGTCTTGCTTTGATAATAATGATTTGATCAGATAGAGATAATAGATGTGCATTTCCAAAAGTAATGGAGATGTTATTTCAGTGATTTAATTTAAAAAGTGAACCTTAAATACTGTACAGATTCCCACAGGTGGATTTCAAACTATCATTCATGTGTATTTTGATTGTTATATCTCATGACTAATGAAAATATTAAATTTGGTGTCTCAAAATATACTGAAACCCCCCCACCCAAAAAAATTTAAACAGAAATGTAATGACCATATCTTCAGTCTTTATGAAGAACACTTCCAACTTTGCAGTTGTCACAAAGAAGCCAGAAACGATCACTGCTTCAGAAGCTGGATGTTTACAGAATCCTATGTGCATTTTAATGAAAAGTTGAGTGGAAGGAGAAACCACAAAGCAGACAACCACAGACTTGAGAGAACTGTGGAGTAAAGCCAATTCAAGATCTTAAGGATTACAACGTGTGCACTATGATTGGAGTTACTGCTTTAATACCA